GATTTAAATTGCCCCCCCCCCCCTCCCCCTCAAAACCCCCTTCTGTCCCTGTATAGTCCCTGTATAATAATTAACTTATTCATTTCTGGGATCTCTCTCTCTCTCTCTCTCTCTCTCTCTCTCTCTCTCTCTCTCTCTTAAAATTCTGACTTTATATGCTAAATTATTGGTTACTGAAGGGTCTTTAATAAATAACTTTACAATGTTCTATACTATCAAGTAAATGCATAAGTGTTTCACGGAAAACCTGAGATTCAGACGCATGCTCATTAGAGATCTTTTATAAAGTTGTGTCTTATTATGTGAACAACCACCACTTCTGATTTTTGCACCAGCTTCAGTGAGAGACTAGGTTAAACTAGAATTTAGAATAATTTTTAATCAGATTTGTCAGCTGAATTGGCTGTTAAAAGTGCCAGTTATGTTTCCGTAATGCATATTGACACCAGTGTCTAGAAGTTAATTGCAAGAGAATTGTTTTCGGCACCAATTGCCAGTTGTCACTGCTACTTTCTATTTGACTTGACACTAGTTGTACAATGATAGAATGACAGAATAAAATTGAAATTTTGGCTATGAAGAAACATTTGCAAACCCATCCCTGTGTTAAGGATCAGGCCTTAAAAATGGATTAGGAGTTTGCGAACTTGGGCCTCAGATTTGTGACTAAATTTATGACTCAAGCCACAAATTAAGTACCTGAACACAAAATTAGTAGCCATGAGCACATCATTATAATTAGGAGACAGAAACCACTCTGGTGCTGTGTTGGTGCCTACTAATTTCACATTGGGGTACTTAATTCGTGTCTTGAGTTGTTAATTTGGACATTTTTACTCCCAAATCTAAGGTTTGTGCTAGCATAGTATGGCAAATATTATTTATGTGGCCTGAGGATGATGGAGTAGCAGTTTTCATGGTGATGCTGATCTAGCTCTGTTTGACTTCCTTGATACTCGGGGTAATTGTCACCTCCATTAAATGCCAACGAAAGAAGACGTTTGATCGACATTGAAGCAAAGGATATAAAAAAGTCATTTTGTTACGAAAGAACATTTGCTAACGAAAATATTTCATCTCACTCTTTGCCAAGAATTAAGGAAATACGCCCTTGCCACTTGAACACATAAATTTGAAACACAACTGCCCCCAAAACATGATGTCATTTTGTCCTCCCTGCTAGAGTTACACACCAAATGAGCACTAACAGCCAAAACTAATTCGTGTATTTAAAGTATGCTAATTGTGTGTTTTAAAATTTCCCCAAGTCAGATCTCCTGTGTCTACATACCCTGCATCATCCTTATAGAGATATTCTGTGATTATACTTGGTGTTTTCAATGGTAGGAATTGTTATTTCAAAGATACCATATTTTAAGTTATAATTTCTTAAATTTAGAACTTTGAGTGGTAGCAACAAAATTTAAAAAAAGGCTACACATTAGATCTATTCTGTGCAACAAAAGCACCATAAATGCTATTTGAAAATATAATTTTGTGATAATAAAATCATGTATTTTAAAGTTTAATTTTGTAGAATTGACAAGCAACAAGATGTGACAGTGGTAATTATCAATCCCAATCCAACCAAACATCATATTTATAGGCAAAGTATATTTTAGTTTTTGGTATTTTTGTTGTTGAAGATAACACTGGTGATTTTTATGTTGATTTTTTAATGTTGATGAAATTTCACTGATTTAAACTGGCTCTATTTCCATATGTTTGTGATAAGTGGGCTTTCATGAATTGCGTGGCAATGGCGGAGAAAATGGGAGTGTCTTTTTGGGGGTGGTTAACCCTTAAATCTAGACCACTTTGGATAATAATACAAAAAGATATTAACCACAAGCAATCCTGTTTGTAAAGTTTCCCAAAATTGTGAATTAGAGTGCACTGGAGCAGCCATGGAAGATAAGGGTCAGGTGGTTCGTGACACCCACTGCTTTTAGACTCCATAGTGTACATGTTAGAATTTTTTTCTTTTTTTTTTCATTTTTTTTTCACCCTCCTAATTTCCTTCTCATTGTCCCACCTTACCTCTGACTTGGAGTCACATGCATATCTTAGTGTTGGGGGCATAGATAGATTGAACAAAATAGGACTTATCATTTTCGAAGTTTTAATAAGGATTTATGTAGGCTATCACTGACTAGGCAGTAATATGGGCAAAAACATTTGCTGTCTTCATTTTTAAGGATTTTGTACATTGTTATTTATGTTTATTTTATCAAATTAGAATAGCAGATATCATTGGGCTTACTCCCATTTTTGTGTCTGATGATGCATGTGGAAATTACATTTAAAAAAAGAAAGATTTCAGCTTGTTTTATAGGGAAGGTCAACATTTTTCCATCAGTCATCTCCACACAATTACTTTTGTTTGAACATATTTTTTATGTTTTTGTTTATCTCTGGTTAGGTTCTATATACTTCAGGAAGTCTTTTGAAATTGCAGCTATTTGAATTCATCATGGGTGTGGTGTGACTGGCCCAGATATTTTCTTTGAAGTTGTCCCAGGCATAAGGCAAAGCCTGTCAGAATGTCAAAGAAAGAATGTAGAATGGAAAATTATTGCTTTGGTCCTATGTCCTTATTGCATTTGGCAGTGAATGTGGGTTGCATTAAGTCAAAACTAACACTGGCTGTCTTAAACTTTAATATTTATCATATTGTATACTTGTAACATGATAAACTGCAGTGTAAGGACACAATATCTGTACAGTAGTAGGTACTGTTCTTATGTAGCAACAAACTTGGTATTGGGACTGTATGGAATAGTTTATATTGTGCTGCCATCTATAGGGACTTGTTTTCATTATGTTGGACCTGAATGCTTGATACTTATCTTGTGTCACCCACTTAAATCCTTTATATTAATGCCATATATTGATTAATGTTTTTCAGGTTCAGCTGTTTAAAGGAAAATAGATTTGATTTTCTCCTTGGACAATACCCCCTCCTCTCCATAATAATAATAATAATAATAATAATAATAATAATAATAATAATAATAATAATAATAAGGTATAAATAAATCAATCATATATTAAATCTGATTGCTCCTATTATTTTCCAGATCACAAAATTCCCCCTAGAGTCTTGTAAGGTGTACAACGAATGTTCAGAATGCGTGACAGCTTCAGATCCTCTGAATTGTGGGTGGTGTGCCAACGAATTGGGGCAAGGCGAGTGCAAGATGAGGCAAGAGTGCTTCAAGAGATGGACCAAGGACAGCTGTGCACCGCTCATCTATTCTGTAAGAACATTTGATATCTTAATCAGAAAATTGCTCTTAGTAATAATTTTAAAATTTTAAAACATTTCACCTGCATGTTTCATTATGGTGACAATTTTACAATGTGGGTTATTACATAGAATTTAATTTATCTTTTGAATCCTTTGTTTTTTTTTCTGTTTTTTTTTTTTTTGTCGGTTGTTTTATTGAATCATTATACAAGCATTGCACCTTCTCATCCGCTCTTTTAACATGTCATTGACCCTTACCAAGCATGTAAAATGAAAACATGAATTACTTGTAAAAAATACATGGTAAAACATATTTGTGAGATTTAATGCCGTATTGAAAGTTTGTCTTCTTTGACTTTCTATCATGGAGAAAAATTGCCAGGTGGGTCGATTTTTTTTATGGACAATTAATCATTGATAAAAAATGTCCACTCCACAGGTCACCCCTCAAACTGGACCTGTCCAAGGTGGTACGCAAATGACCATACAGGGGCGGGATTTTGGCTCCAATCAGAGCCAGGCAGTGGTGGAAGTGAAGATTGCCGACACAACCTGTAATGTCACGTACAAGGATTCCTCAAGGTGAGGGGACACCTGCAACCTTGGAGTCAGAGATCACTGGAATGTCTGAGCTCTTTTATCAATATTTCTCAGCCATTGCCTGTGAATTGGTGAAATTATAATTAAAGATAATGGCAGAGGCATGCTGATGAAAGAGGAGAGTTTGCAGGGGAACTCTTGACTTTTTAAATATTCTGTCATATAGATCCCATTCCCTTAGACACTATCAGTTTATGTAAGTCGATCCAACTCTGTAGAGACTCTTGCTGAGTGCAATCAGTTTAACTATAGACATGCCTTCTCTTGTTTCTAATATACTTGAACAATCACCAGCTCTTCTGTATTTTACTTAACCACGGGAAGAAGCACGCACTCAGCAAAAATCCTTGTGGAGTTGGATCAATCTACGTAGAGCAAATGTGTCTATTATGGGAATATGGGGCCATACTGTACACTTCTTTAGTTTGCTGGAGGCCTGTTGTGATCACTTTAAACTTTGTCATCTTTTCTACAGATGAAAATGAAAATTTGTATAATTGATTAGTTTTTACAAATTTCTGATAAGATGTGATATATATAGTACAACACCAAAGGCATACATCTGCTAGCCTATCAAAAGCATCAATTTAATGGAAGAAATCAGAATGTATTCTATTTTTCCCCAGAATTCTCTGCACCACTGGCGTCTCGGCCAAGGGAGAAATAGATAGAGAGGTGTATGTACGAGTGGTTGATAGAACAAAGACAATTGTCAAGTATTTGATCGAAGGCCAGGCGCGTTCGCAGCATGTCTTTGCATACAAGGTAAGACCTGTGTGAGGTGTAATTAGACTTAAATTTACATTACTGTCATAGTGCCCATAACCTTGTAAGTATGTTGTAAATATTTCTAAAATCTTTCTGTTCAGAAGTTTTACATCATTCATGAAAAAATTTTTTTCTTGGGAGGGGGAGACATTTTTGTATTTGAACAAATTGTCTTTAGACTTTGATGTGTTGCAATGCTGACAGCACCTATCCATTGGGTTCCACATTGAGTATTCCCCCTTTCATCTCTGCTTTTTTTCCCCGTTTGGATATGCAAATTTACTTGGATTTGAATATTAAACATAAGAAAGAAAAATCTAACAGAAATTAAAGATTTGAAATGTTCAAGCTTGCAAGTATATATGGGTCCACTGAAGACAGTTGCACAGAATTTTTAATGTGACACCTAAATAATTAGGCTATTATTTACCAAATTTACATGAACAATGTATACTTACAAAGTGGTTTATCAGATTAATAATTTATGATTTGAACTGCATTTAATTATTTGTTGTGATATATGCCCTAATTGCATGGCTATCTTAGTGGAGATTTAAATTTAGTTATTTTACTTGTGTTGCTTTTGAGGAATTGTTTTGGTTTTTTTAAAACTGGTGGTCTGTTTAATGTTTTATGATTATACTAGAAATTGTTTGTAATGATATTAATTTTGATTTTATTTGTCATAATTCTCTTGTTTTGTTGTGTACTTCCTTCTGAATCGTTTCAATATTCAAAAGCATCCAGGAAAAAGTATTGTACATGCTTCAAAAGGCATATAATCAACACTTCAGGTTTGTTTTTTGGATATAAAAAAGTTTTAAAAGCAAAAAAGAAAAAAAAAGGAGACAGTACATAATTGTACCCCCTTTGCATTTTGGTTGTTTTTACATTTCATTCCTGCCCTTTTAACAAGCTCTCACTATCCAAAGTGTAATAAGATTGAAACACTCCCTTCTCATCTGACACTGAAGATGTGCAAAAAATGAAAGCACTTAAAACAAAAAAACAAATTAAAAAAATACCATCTACTTTTAAAATAAAAATTGCAACTCTAACACATGGAAGTAAAAAAAATTACACTGCGTACCATAGAAAATATTGAAACGATTCCTAGTTGTAAAAGTCTCGCTTTTGCTGTTGTTTTGTTTAGCAACCTTCCGTTTCCTCACTTACTCCCAAATATGGGCCCCAATCTGGTGGTACTGATATTTTGATCAAGGGAAGGAATTTGAACATAGGATCTCGGCAGGCGGTCACAGTGGCAAACCTGCCATGTGTTATACACAGGTACTGGTCAAGACAAACTGAAGTCTAAGTTTTTCATGGTTCTGATTTTGGTGTTATTCCATAGAAGGAGGCATGCAGGGCTTTGGCTGTTTTGGGAAAGGATGCCTTTTTTACTTTATAAAAGATTTTCATGTCCTATGATTTTATGAATATATAAGTACATTTTCATAACTAATTTTATGCCATATGTCGAAGACAGTTGAAATGCTTGAAATATTACAGAGGATCAAAGTATCAAAATTAACTTCATAAAAAATTTTATTTCCTTTGTCAATTTTTTATGAGTGTTTTGTCATTTATTTTTGTATTTTGGTTATATATGTGACATGTTATCTTTGCAGTAGTAAATTTTGTCACATAGCTTTAGAATAACATTTTTCCATGAATAAAAATTTCATTACTTTGCTAGTCAAATTAATTTGAAAGATATTAAGTCAGTTTCTTTTTCATTTTAAAGTCTTGTGGGGCTTATTTCACATTATGGTAAGATTAAAAGCACACAAAAGCTTAAAAAACCTATTTTAAAAACCATTTACTATGAAATTTGCATGTAATGTCCAGTTTATAAATTAATAAAAATGCATTGGATCTTTTATCTTAGCACGCTGTCAGATAGCATTAAGTGCACCACCACAGCTTGGAACATGACTGTCATGTACAAGTACATCAGGCGCTACCTGGTGAGGAGAAAACGTGACATTGGCAGTGGCCGCCTTGAGGTCTTCATAGATGGCGCTGTGTTGAGTGATAGAAACTTGCGCTATACTTATAAAGAAGATCCAACCGTAACATCTATATCACCAAGATTAAGCACCTTAAGGTTAATATGATAAAACATGATTCAGAGCATGAAAATTGTGAAATAAGTTTTTGATAGTAAGAATATGAATTTGTTTTAAAAAATAACTCAAAGAATGATTTTATGATTAACTTAAAGGTAAGTTTCATTAAAAAAATAATTTGTTTGAAAATAAATAGCAAACTTGACAGTTTAATTCATTATCTTCACCATCTAACCTTAAAGCTCTAGGCATTTTTTCATTTTTCTTTTTCTGTACTAGCGGCGGCACCACAATAACAGTACGTGGTACCTACCTGAACGTGGTGGCAAATCCAAGAATGGGATTGTCCCTGCCACAGAAAACCACCACTGCACCATTCGTAAGTGTATCAGTATGCTTTTGTAATAAAGTTGTGAAGATTTTTAAACATTTGTTTTTTATCCTTTGAAATGCTTCATTTTGTCTTTAATTGCTGCCTTATGCAGAGGTCATATATTTTGAAAAATCAATGATGTGGAAGGCACATAATCACCTGTTCAACTGCAAATAATGTTGTATGTGTACTGAAACATAGTTAAAATCATTTATGTGCAACTCAAAGTGATATCATGATTTTTATAGCATATTTTAACATGAATTAAAACTTTGAAATTTTTAAATTGAAAGTTTGAAGAAATGGTTCAACAATGACAAGAAAAGCAATACAACATTCACTTGGGCGTTTACTTGCAGGCATGTGTAGCTGCAAACGATGGCCTCAGTATGAAATGTGTGACCCCAAATGTCACCCATCTCATCGCAATTGCACCAACACCAGCCAGACCTACTACGGCCGATATTTGGTTTCTAATGGATGGAGTGAGTAAATTGCGGAATTTCTCCCAGACTCATCCGAAACTGAGCCCTCTGCAGATATACCCTGATCCAGTCTACACTGCATTCAAGGACAGCCCCAATCCATTTTATATTGATGATGAGCAGATTAAGATAAATGTAAGTGGTAATCTTGTAAATCACCATGTTAGATGTATCAATTTTTTTCTTACATTTGCCATTGTGTTAATGCATTTTAAGCCTTGTAAAAATCTAAATTGCGTATTATGATAGGAGTTATGTTAATCATAAGCGTGTTTGTCATTTTGAGCTATGAAGAACTAATGTACTTGTTTTCAAGGGGTGTTTTTCGGTTACCAGTGTGTAAATGCATTTCTAGCTTTATAAAACTTGTCAAGTCTGTAGCAGTTGTATTCATTAGTGTGGAAAGGGGCAATTAATCTATTTTTTCACATCAGGGCAAGTATCTTCATCTGGTCCACAACATTGGTGATGTAAGTGTGACTGTCGGTTCGGCGCCATGTACTGTGACCGCCCTTGAGTCCAGCTACTTATTATGTAAACCAGGCAATAAGCCAGCACAGGTCGGCCCCAATGAGCCTCTTTATCCAGTCAAGGTACGCATTTTGTTAATAGTAAGGTCACGGCAATTTTTATGAATCCCTGGTATGTTTTGTGGAAAAAAAGGACCCATGCTTTCTAACCTGGTGTTGTGTGTTGATCGAGTGGAGATTATCCCTGTTTTAATGTTGAAGACCAAAATAAACGCCAAGTTGAAAAGAGTTAGAAACCCTTACATTTTTGGACAAGGAATTGGTTTTTTATAACCTTTTCAGTATTTTCATAGGGATGGAATCAACTGCCAACATGTTTTTAACGTACAATTAAAAAAAAAAATAAGTACGAGATATGGTAGCATAAAGAAGTTTGGTCATTACTTTTAATTATGTATTTTCAACAGGTGACAGTGGTCATTACTTCTTAATTATGTATTTTCAACAGGTGACAGTGGGCAACTTAAAGTTCAACATCGGTTCTCTGCGATACATGCAAGTGTCCAGCTCCATCATGGTGGTGGGCATTGGGGCTGGAGCCGGGTGTGCCTTTGTGGTCATCATTCTGGCATCTGTCCTGTTCTACCTAAAGAGAGCTAAAAAGGGGCCCTTCAAGCCGAAACCGACCCCCGAGCCCCTGGTGCGCTATACTGCCAACCCACACAGGAATGGTGATAATGGACATTTGAGAGTCCACAGGCAGGGCAGTAATGACAATGGTCAGTTGTTTTGGACCACCAATCATTTATGAATAATGATCATATCTTTGAAGAGTCTTTTGTGAGAATTGTTTCAAGTGAATTGTTAAAATATCTTTAAGGTGTTTACCCAGAAATAGGGTTTTCCAGTAAAGCCATGATCAGTTTTTGTGTTTGTCATATTAAGTTACTCATAATTATATATTTATATATTTTTGTTTTTTTAACCCAATAATAACAATAAATATTACCACATTTCAGAATACAGCCCATTACAAGGAGCAAGAAGGCGAGGGGTCATCACGTCACGTCGGCGAGGTGGTCGAGGTTCAGATGAGTATGGGGTGGACGGTGAAACGTTACTTCTCATCCAGGACTCTCATCTTCTCATTGAGAGGGATAATTTGATATTAGGAGAAAAAATTGGACAAGGTATGATCTAGTTGTAGGAATGTGCCATGGAATTTAGACTCTTGTAAAAACTTTTTTTGGTTGTTTCAATTATCAGTTTGTGAACTGAACTGATCTAGCTGTCAGTGAATTGTGCATGTTGATATTACATTTGTTAAAGAAATAAGTTTGAAGCATATCTAGCAAATATTTAGTAAAAAGTATTTTAGCCAATATTCATTGCTTTCAATTTACATATTAACAGTAAGGTCACTTGTGTGTGTACATGTGCATTTGTGTGTGCTGCGTGTGTTAGATTGTACAAGCACATGCAACAGTAACTTTTACACCACAGTTTAACCCATTATTTCTGATACTTCTTTCTTTTTGTACAAAGTAAGTCATCTGCATTATTATTTTACTTTAGGTCACTTTGGAACAGTGTTCAAGGGCTATCTGACGGTCAAAGGACAGAAGGAAGAAATGCTAATGGCAGTGAAAACATTGCACAAAGAATTTAAAATTAGTGAGTTAATTTTGAACTGTTTATGGTGTTTGTTATGAGTATGAATTCATATGTGTTGTTTTTTTTTGTTAGGTGGTAGTTATGATATGTTTAATTTAACTTGATATATTGTAAAAAAGGGAAAAAGATTTTAGTCTGTACCATTAGTTAAGTTGTTTGTGAGCTAAATAAATATCTTGTTGAGCTCAATTTGAAGTAATGTGATAAAAAAAAAATACAATCCAAATATATTTCAAATACATTTCTTTTAAATCAATCCAGGCAGCATTCAGACTTTTACCCATTTAATTCCCTTTATTCATTAAGATTATGAAAACTCTGAAGATGATCGGAAGAAGTTCTTGAAGGAAGCACTGATCATGAAGGACTTTAACCACTGTAACATACTGCAGCTGGTAGGGATATGTATGGACACTGACAACACCCCTCTGGTAGTGCTGCCTTTCATGAAACATGGAGACCTGTTGTCTTACATTAGGAATGAGGGCCATGTAAGTGGAAAGCAAGGAAGGACAATGTTGAAATAGTGTCTCTATTGATATTATTACAAATGATGTTTGTTTGAATGTGAGAACTGTGCTTTTTGATGTATTGCTATCTAAAGGATAAATGCATGTGTGTGTGTGTGTGTGTGTGTGTGTGTGTGTGTGTGTGTGTGTGCGTGCGCGTGGGTGCTAAAGAGAGAAAAAGAGAGAGAGAAAATGTGTGGATGTGTGTGTCTGTGAATTCATGTGTGTCTGTTGTTGTTTGTGCCTTTCCCCTCACCAATGGCCAGTAAGCATGCCTGTTCTATGTTCCAAAGCAGATAACATTATTAATAGCCAATTGCAAAGCAGCTAACATTTTAACCCACCTATCACAGAGGATATAACATTGTGATGTTTTTTTTCCTCTTTCCAGATGCCCACAGTCCGTGACCTGATCCTGTTTGCCATACAGATAGCCAGGGGGATGGCTTACCTGGCAGAACTGAAGTTTGTCCACAGAGACCTGGCAGCTAGGAACTGCATGTAGGTTGCCACCCCCCACCCTCCCCCAAGTCCTAAATTTGGACAAAAAAAGAGAAGGAAATAATTTTATAAAAAAAGACATAACATATTTTCTCCCTAACTCTTAAATTTGCAAAAAAAAAAAAAAAAAAAAAGGGAAATTGTTTTTTAATTTTATAAAAAGGAGACATAAAATCTTTTCTCCCTAACTCCTAAATTTGCAAAAAAAGGAAATTGTTTCTTAATTTTGTAAAAAAAAGAGACATGGCATCTTTTCTCCCCTGGACCCCAATCCCTAACTTTGCAACAATAAAAAAGACAGGGATTTTTTTAATTTTATAAAAAAGAGACATAACATATTTTCTACCCACATCAATCACAACTGAATCATTGATGTGAGCCCCAAAAGTTAGAGAGTATTAGAAGATAGAAGCAGGTCCTTGTCATGTTACAGGCATGGGGACTTGGTTTATTTTCTTACCATTATAAACAATAATGTTTATGATGTTTAGGTTGGATGATGGGATGCACGTCAAAGTTGCAGACTTTGGGCTCTCAAGAGATATCTACGAGCACGATTACTACAGTAGTGAGGATAAAAAAGCAAAACTCCCAGTGAAATGGATGGCACCAGAGAGCATGGAGAAAAATATATACAACTCCAAAACAGATGTGGTAAGTATTCTAGTCTACAAATTACATTTATTTATTTATTTTGTTCTTGTATGGGCTATAATCTTATAATCTTTCAGTGAGGAAGACGCAAAATAAGCCAAATTATGAATTATTTGAAAGACACAGTTTAAATGTTTGGGGAAGTTTTAATATTGCCTTAATTGGTAAAAGATACGTGCATTTATGTTTTCACACAGGCATACAAACACATGCAGTGGTGCATAGCCTGGCCTGTTTTGTAGATGCTAACAAAAATAGTGTGGTGAAATGGAGGTTAAAATCAAGAGTATGTTTATGAGTTATTATAAAACATGAACAGATGAACATATGTTTTTGAATTATTATAGAATATAAAGAGATAAGGTGACAATAGAGAAATATACAGCCAAAGAAAATGAGTGCATTTTTGCCCCTCTCCTTTCAGTGGTCATACGGTGTTGTACTATGGGAGCTGATGACCAGGGGGGTCACTCCATACCCTGATGTGGACAACTGGGATATCCTAAGATATCTTAAATCTAACAGAAGATTACTGCAGCCAGAGTACTGCCCAGATATGCTGTGAGTACTCCCCCCCCCCCCCCTCTCCATCCTCTCTCTCTTAAATCTTTTTCTCAATAAAAATTTCTTGGTTGTAAATGCAGCATAATGAAATTTGCAAAATCAATGTGGTAAATTAAAGTAAAGGGGCATTCCATGGCAGCACATGGTTTCTACAATAATGGCTTGAGGGAGATGTCTCTCTCTTTTATCTTTTCTCTCTCTCTCCCTTTCTTAAAACTGACAATTCTTAGCTTTAAAGAGGGCAATTAATTATAAAGAATTCAGCTCTTATTCCAAGCCAAGAGCCCTGTTAATTAGAAAGAATTAAGATTTTTATTTTAGAGTAGTTCTAATTTCTTGATTTTTATTTCCTATTTATCAGGTACAGGGTAATGCACCACTGCTGGGCAGCTGTCCCTAAGGATCGGCCCACTTTCCAGGAGCTCGTTGAAGCAGTCAGCAGCGTAATAACTACTTTAGAGCAAGGCCAAAATCGTGTCAACTTAGATGACATATATGTCAACGTCCCTCACGATCAAGGATATTTGATGCCAAATGAGTCGTCTGGTTCCAGGATGACCGTGGTATGATCAAAATGAAAAAGAAGAAGAAGAAAAAAATCAGATCCCAGTCTAAAAAATTATGCAACATCATTGTCTAGAATGAATTTCAGATCAGGAGTATATATTACATATCTGCAACTGGGCCAAATGCTAGCTTCACCAAAGCCTTAGATTCTTAAAGTGATCAGTGTTAAAAAAAAACTTTTATGACTTAGGAGACAGTATACCCTTAAATCTGAAGCCTTGATTAAAGGTATTCAGTATGGGTTTTTTGCACCAGTCTAATTTGACATTGCCAAAACTGTTTATTGAAGATGTTATGCGTCAACACTAGAGATGTGACTGTGAAAGAAACCATGAAGGCATTGCCGGAGATTTGCATTGGCAAGGGATTCAACAACAGCAGATTACTGACCTTTTAGTTTTGTGTACTTATTTTGATATGTCAGATACGTGACTCCAAATATTGGGCAGATGCTTTTCCTGTTTGAGTACAAGCTTATTTCTTAATGCGTAAGTTGCACTGTTTTGAACACTGCACTAGATGAAATTGTGCTGTTCCACAGTATATTTTATCTCTATTACATCCCAAATGCTTCATAAAAATTTTTACAACCTAAATTCTAACCACCTAAAGTAGATAGACTCAGTGTCAAGGTAAAATGTTATTCTCCTGCTTCTGTTTCTTTACATTTCTTTGGGAAAAAAATGAGCAAAGTGTTTTTAAGGTGAAATAGAGTTATGAGGGAAAAGAATAAATTAGCTGTTAAAATTCCTAAAGAAGGCGTTATAGATATAATGATCTTTTGAAAATATGTAATTTGCCGTAGAGGTTATAAGCTTGAACTTGCAGTAAAAAGTTATGCAAAATGTAGATAGCAGAATTGAGTAGAGGCAAATTGCAGCCGCGCAAAGATTGGTGGTTTCCAATGGAAAGTATTCCATTTTTAATGTGATATTGGAAAAAAAACATGTTGCCATGAAGTGTTACATTGTCAAAAGCATGAAAGGATTTTAATATCATTATTATTTCTGTGTATCTGATTGTAATTTTTGGCAGTATTTGACAGTGGTAAAATACGTATGGATTCTGCATCAACAATTTGGTGCCATGCTGTGCATTTTAACAATATGACTAAGGGCTTACATTGCACATGTCAATATTTTGAAATGTCAGTTCCTTTTGTAATATATTTTATGCCTTTTAAAGATGGTAGACTGTATTTTTATAGAATTATTTTAAGAATGTACACATGCACACGATGGCGCACTTAAAAGTTATGTGTGCCATATTTACAGACGTAAAAGCGGACTCCAATATGGCAGCCAATTCCAAAATGGCTCTGTCATGACTCCGTAATTTGCATTACCATCTGTACATAATCTTTTAAATTTTTAGTCAAATTAAAAATTGCATTTGCTGTTTTTTATAAGTTGCAAAATCACCTTGTTTCGTTCTTAAATGTTCTTCGAATATACATGGATACTGCTGCAAGCCATAAAAGGATGGGCAGCCAAGACGAAATAAGCGAATATTGAAAAACATTACGATGTGATTTTAAGTTAGAAGAAGTAATGGTTTGCTTTAGTTCTTTTGTTGAGTAATATATTAAATAAAACTATGTGATGCAATAGAATGCACACATAACATAGCTACAGCTTACAGAGCTTATGTAAAAAATCAAACTAAAACAAAATTGGCTAGGTTATATTGCATATTTTTTTAAAACAGAACTTATCAGCCAGAAACGTTATTAGAATCTCTTTTTTTAATCTTCTTAACTTACATATTTGTCTTGCAGGTGTCATATTGTTTATATCTGGGACAATGCTCGATGCCATTTTTTTAATTGCTCTAGTTTTTTTCTAATAGTAAGAGGGCACAATAGATATATTGTGCACCACAATTTGATATATCCTTGGTGTATTGCTAATGCTTACAAATTGTACCTTACATGTGATGTTTATTTTAATTGTCTTTTTGCATTAGAATTCAACATATGTATATTTTAGGGCTAAGAGATATCAATGTGTAGAACAGAAATGTTTTTTAAAATATAGACAACATTTGGGTTCGCCTGTGCCTTAAAGTTCGATAGCAATACCTGTATATATTAGTTTTTAACATGCAATGTGGTTGTAAATAAAGGCTAGCAACTGTTTATGGAATGAGACTGAGACTGCCAAGTGGAGAGTGTAATAATATGCAATATGTGTATATTTTGTGTTGTACTGTATATGAGATCTGCAAATCCTATTTGTGCCAATATTTGTGTATTTTTTCACTGAACTACAACATGTTTTGATGTTTGAAAGTGATACTAGTTTGCTCACGTACTTCCACGTTTCTGCTCTTGTGAATATTCCCGCCACGTAATGAAACTATTTGATATACATAGTATTATATGTGTTTTACCTGGCATTTTGGCAATAATTAATGTACTTGGCTAGTTATGTCTTTGCATTATATGACAATTTTAACCCATGCTTGTAGCTTAAATATGAATGTACAACTTGTTGACTGTGGAATGGCTATATAACAGTCAAACATTGTATATTTATATTAGATTTCCAGTCTTCAGAACCATTATACTCCCTAAACTTCAGCTTTTGCATGTATGTAAAGGTTGAGCATTGCTTTAGGTAAACAGCAATTTATGTTTTTATGGCTGTGCAAATATGATGGCCCAGGGGTCTTCCAAGCTTTTCATATTTGAGGTCAAAACGGTTGAACCTCTTTTTTACCTACTTTTTGGGACCAATTCACAGCATATGTGTTGACTGATGTATTTAAGGATTTCTATTTCTATACTAAGGCATCTTTGTTTATGATATAAGCCTGCATTTAAAGATGTACTTATGAAAAACATAAGAATTGACAAAATTTGTAAAATTATACAATCATTGTCGATATTTATCGGAAGATCCATTAGTAATAAATCTATGAAAACCGAGGCTGTTTGTTTTAAGGTTCTTCATTGAGTGATAACTACTATGCATGCGCATGGTATGGTAAATGTCCTATGGTTGACTAATATCGTCGTCATAGCGTAAAGCACTATTTGAGGTTTTGAATGTTATTAAACAAATCTAAGTGACAGCCAAGCATGTCCCAACAATCATTTTCAAGCACTCTGGTCCGTACTACAGTTTTAGTTTCTTTTAAATGCCAGAGCGTGGAAAACTAGAGAAGAAACGGAAACGAGAACTTTGGGAAACCTGTTCTACATTAACATTCTTCGGCAATCAGAATAGCACCAGTATTATCTATGTAGGTCATTGAACGGATTGAGGGAGGACAGAATTTAAATTTTAGGTCACTGATGTGTTTATCGCTAAAATTTCCAACGAGAGTGACGGAGCTGCAATAATGGCGCGTTTCTTTTTGATATTATCGCTGATTGCTTTGGGATTTAGCAGTAAGGTAGGTGTCAACAAAATTATACAAATTCCTGAGATTCTCTTCATGTCTTTTGTTAATATACCATTGCTGGGTTTTGCTTAATGTACACACTAAGATGGGTGGGTGGGGAGGGGGGGGGGGGTTCTACGAAACACCGACTTTTGTACTCCGGTTCACGCTTTTCATAAATTTGTGATACGTGAATAGAGGAATGGTGGGCAAGAGATGGACAAAACAAGGTAGAAATAATAATAATAATGACAGTAGAAATAACAAAAGAAAAAAAATTGTTCACAAATTCTCATCGAAAAAAGTAAGAGGTTCTTGGAGTCCTTCACTGTGACCAAATAAGTAGATGTAATCTGTGTCTGAATGCATTACATTTGTTACCCAGGCATTTGGATTGCAAGACATTCCACTTGTCAACATCGATGACTTCAGAAAGTACGCAGAGAGTAATCTGTCCAACGAAACCAGAGTGTATTTACAGATCGGAGGCACAGAGTTAACCACATACAGGGAAAATACGGAGGCTTTCAAACGCTACAGATTAAGGCCCCGCTATTTGGCGAGAGATGTCAGCACCATCGATACTTCTACGACTGTTCTTGGGCGTCCAGTGGCATCTCCTATCGGTACGACGACAACGCAGGCAATGGCTAGTATCAAGCAGTATTTACTTAACGTCTTTCATACATTTTATGAGATAGTTTTGTGTACATAATTACAGTTTTGTATACAACATTCGGCCGGGAGAAAATAGGACGTACTAGTGTATAGATAGCCCTACTCTGTATATCGTACGTAGTTAATCCCCCTCCCCCCCTCTTTGCCCAGTGTCATTTTCATGTCATTTGATCTAATAAAACATGACCTGCTTACCAAAGCCCAACACTATATGACGCCATTATAATAAACAAGGGGGCATTTGGGCTGCAGTTCAATAGATCGTGTATATATATTGTATGTGAAATTATATGCCTTAATTTTTTACAGGGAAATCCATCCTATACCTATAAAAATGTAAACGTCATTTGCTTGTCACTATCATTTACGTTAAATAAGCATATTTCTGACTCTGTTTTTTTCTTCAAAAGGGATTTGCCCGATGTCCTACCAGAATTTATTTCATCCCATGGGAGAGATTGCCACAGCCTTCGCTGCGAAAAATACGAATCATCAAATGATATTAGCCGCTAGTTCATCAACCGCCATAGAAAACGTCGTCAATGAGACTAACGTGGAACTTTGGCAACAAATCTACATCTTAAGGCCATTGAACCTTACTTCACAGTGGGTGAAACGTGCTGAGAATGCTGGTAATGTAACTGAAATGTCAACTAGTGTATTTCTAAGACGCAAATCATTGTTATACACTATATATTGTATATATATTCCACATAAAGTGGGACAGACTAACTAGTCTGCGGATCAAATATGGTCGACCCACTTGAAAGTTTTCCCAAACCGAGTCCGAATCCAGTGTTCATTAAGGGATAACGTGGCGAGCTTTCAAGTGGTTGTGCTGACACCAAACGCTGTTGCAAGAGCAGTACTAGTGTTACAAAATGGTTTAAGATTACTGATATTGAGACGAAGTTTTGTTCCCTCAAAAGAGGCATTTAAACATCAATTTTTTTTGTTAAATATCAATCATGATTTATTGGCATCTTTGGTGTTATAGGTGCGCGTGCCATTGTGGTAACTATAGACCGCCAAGGCTCGCCAATCACGTACGCCATAATGCGAGGGCTTCTAAATAAGACTGGCTGGCAAAGACCAAATGCGCCCACTGATTCTTACAAGAGCAGAAGTGCCGCCACGTGGGATGACATCACGTGGTTGAAAAGTATTACAAAGTTGCCGATTGTGATAAAAGGAGTGCTGAATGGCGAAGATGCATCAAATGCCGTGGAAAGAGGGGCCAGCGCTATTATCGTGTCTAATCACGGTGGAAGGTGAGCAAACGTGCCGATTGCTTGAGGCCATGTGTGACGCTTCGTTTCTCTCTGTTTGTCTGGTTTTGTCTGTCTGTCTTGGTTTAGTGTAGAACTTGGCCTTAGTTTTGAGTGTTGTGAGAACATTGTCTTAAACCGAAATATTGGTATTCCATTTTAAGGGTGCTGGATGGTGTTCCAGCGACTCTGGAGGTTCTGCCTGAGGTGATTCAAGCCGTGAGAGGGCGCTGTGAAGTGTATCTAGACAGCGGTGTTAGAACTGGCCGGGACGTTTTCACTGCTTTGGCGCTAGGTACGCAGGAAACAACGCCATTTAGTGTGTCAACATTATACTATTTTGTAATCTTTTGATTTATTTTATTTTTGTGAAATACTATCGAAACTGTAAATTTCACTCATTGAGCAAGAATCAACATTGAATAAGGGACATCGAGGTAATCTCTCTCTCTCTCTCAATTTATAGGAATGTACAAATATACGCAGTTAAAAAATTTTAAAAAGTCATTAAAATGATATTAAACTCATTTTGTATTGGCAAATGGCAATTGTGCGCAAAAACACAGTTCGTTATAGTTAGTTTCGGTGAATGCATATTGGAAGAAAGAAGCATATCATTTGTGGGTTTACCGTTGTAATTACTTGATAAATCTGCACCAAATCGTTATATAATATCTCATAGTGTTGTATCCAGGTGATTCAGGAAAGTTTTATCAAATGCCCCTAACATGGATGCCATGTAGATTCTAAAATTTTTAGATTTTAGATTTTTGCTTGTTGGTAAATCTACTTGTTTCATGAAGAGATGAAACAAGAAAGGTACGTAAAATATTATGTGTCTTATTCGATAATTTGTATGGCATTTTCAATATTTAGGTGCACGAGCTGTATTTGTTGGTCGACCAGTTTTGTACGGGTTGACCTACGATGGAGAACAAGGGGTGACGGAAGTGCTGCGGTTACTCTCGAACGAATTTACGTCTGTCATGGCATTAACAGGTTCTTATGTCAAATGCATTACATTGATGAATTTTCAATTGATGCAATTTTTTTTTAATTTATCAGTAAGTCTTGTTATAAGGCACCGATTGCAAAACGCCTTAATAGTTACCCTGTCTTTGAGTATATTTTGTTTTTAAATGAGTTTTTCGTTCTACTGACTACACAATAGTGGAATTGCTTATGATCTTGTTGTAAAACATTTAATTGTGTTATTATTCTCAAATTGGGATATGATCTTGTTGTAAAACATTTAATTGTGTTATTATTTTCAAATTGGGATATAATTAAATTTACAGATGGTCCTTAGTATGCATAAACTAGACTTGCAAAAATATTTATTTTTATTCGCTTTTTTTCGTTCCAGGTTGCACTCGAGTGTCTGAAATCAACTCAAGCTACGTCACAAAGCATCAGGATTTCTACAGTGACCGGTGCTCGCCCAGCATTGCAGCCATGAAGACCAGTGCCAGCATTCGAGTACAAACATTTGCTGGCAGGCTCTTGGTTATGATCATTGTGTTAGCTACAGCACTGCACTGAGTATACTTACTTAGAATATATGTTTTGAGCAACATTCACTTCTTACAAAACAAATACTTCCCAATCAGCCATACACTTTAATAGTGAGATCTCCGTGTGAAGACATTTAACACGTTTTAAGACTTTGTAAAAACCAGAAATCACTACAATCATGGATGGCACGTCGCTTGAGTACGCAAGACCTGCAAACTGAGGAACCAGTTTCAAAATTATTCTTCTGAATGTCAAATAAGAAGGTATTAAAGTCGTCACCCTCTCCCCTTATCAACAACTTATGACGGTCTTTACTAATTTTAGCAAACGTGCCAAGACTTCTTGGATACGCATGTAAGACGTATGACGGGCGTAAGACTAGTATACAGCTCGAGTTCGGGTAGTGGTAGTTTATATTAAGAGATTTTAACAGAGTATAGCCATCAATGGAGGTCATGTGGTCAAAAGACAAGCTCAGATATCAGAATAATAGCTACAACTGCCGTTTTTGTGGAAAAACAAAATATATTATATTTCTATGAGTTATTCACAATGTTTTTATTGTGAAATATATATCTCTTACGAAGAGTTATTATCCCTTTAACTTCTTCATACTTGTGCCAACTGAACTCGCGGGCAAGGTGCTATAGCCACAATGTAAAAGCATTAAATTTAAAACAAATCACTGGTTTATCAACAATATAATAAATCTAGTGAGATTTCTAGGAAATATCACTTAAGAAAATTATTTACAATACCACGTGGCTCTATGTGGTACCAATATACAGGGTGGTCCATGAAAAACGATAGTCAAATTGACTACCTGAAAGGTTTCCAATTTCTGCAGAATTTGCAAGGGTAAAATGGTCATCCTTATGGAAAAAGAAAGTTGGAAATATCTTAATTGCATCAAAATTGTAAAATATGTCGTTTTTTTATTGACCACCCTGTGTAAAGGAATAAATGGCACTTAATCATAATGACTCATTTTGATTCAATTATACAATCATTAACTGTGTTGCAAGGCGAGGTCGTCTCTACTAATGCAGATCGAAAACTAGGTGAGAACAATATGCACAGTGATTGTGTCTTGCATGAACTCACTTATACATGCATAATGAATTCAAATCCACTCCTGAATGGGATTTTGTGACAGACTACAAAATTCCTTCCCTCACGGCGTGCTCTCATTATGAATAATTTAGATATTAATTTTTTTCAAATGTAAGGCAAATTAGTCCCAGTATATTTAGACTTTATTAAAATTAAAATGTTCATTAAAAAAAACAAAAAATTATCTTATGACATGCACAAGAGAGCAAGACATCAATGCGCCTTAGTCCCAGAGTCTGCGACTTGTTACAACACCGCATGTAGCGATGATGCACTTGGGATGTATTTAAGACGAAATCAAGACGCGTTCCAGGCAAAATGAAGCATTTCAAAACATCTGATCATAAAGAACGTCTTGTATTGTATTGGTCTTGCATGGTCTTTACGCCGAGACTTCTAAAAAAAAGGGGGGGTTAAAAACGCAAAGGTTTCCTTTAACGTCTAAGAAATACCCATCGAAAGTTTTCCATATCAGACGTGATCAAGGGAGGAACTTTTTCTTTTTTCTTGTGGGAAGGAACTTGTCATACCACTTCAACGGAAACCTGCAAGTGTCCGGCACTACATGTACCTGTATATGTGTATCAACCGAGTTTATTGTATGTGAACGTGGGGGTCTATTCCCGATGTTAGTCTCTCTATCCCGGTGATAATCAAGGAAGGACAAGTCACTGATTTTTCCGAAAAGTTATTTATTCCGTCAATGAAACAATTGGTAAATACACTTTAGCCTGGTGAGCAACTGCCGAGAAAGTAGCTCATTCATTCAGTGCCCCGATGTTCAGCGTTGGCGATCATGTCTCTCCACACATCTCGGTCCCGAGTGGCTCTCAGCAAGTCAACTGTCGTCTCCAGTCCCATCCAGGATACCAGACCGTCTGTGATTTTTTCCCGTTGTCTTCCGCGGCTTCTTTTCCCATTGATTTTGGCTGTAGTGGTCAGATGCTCAAGACCCCCATTCCTCATAATGTGGCCGAAAAATTTTGCTTGTCGTTTTCTAATTTTGTTAAAGAGCGATCTTTTGGCGTCTGCATCTTTCAACACATTTGTATTTGTTTTTCTATCAGTCCAAGGTATGTGCATCATTCGAATGTAAAACCACATTTCCGTTGCTTCGATTTTCTTCTTCATTTGTTTACTTAGGGTCCAAGCTTCGCATCCATACATAAGAATAGGTTCGATGTAACATTGTAAAACTTTCTTTCTCGTGATAATTGATAGATGTTTGTTGGTTAAAACTGATTTCATTTTTTGAAAAGCTGCCTTTGCTTGAGCAATCCTTGATTTTATTTCCGTGTCGCTGCGCCCATCGGCTGCAATGCGAGTTCCTAGGTATTTAAAAAAAGGGTTTGTTTTAGTTCTGTTCCGTTTGTGTAAATTTTACAGTTAGCTATTTCTTTCTTTCGGCTAACTACCATTACTTCCGTCTTCTTGCTGTTCAACTCTTCACTGTAGAGAGAGAACAGATCAGGAGACAGTACACACCCTTGCCGGACGCCCCTTTTAATTTTTTGGAATGAGTTTAAGTCGTTATCGACCCGCATAGCAGCTTTCTGTTCCCAATATAAGTTTTTGATAATTCTAATATCCTTTCCGTCCAGGTTTAAATGCTCGAGTTGTTTCAATAATTCACAGTGCGTCACCCTGTCGAAAGCTTTAGTGTAGTCTATGAAGCAGAGGTATACCTCTTTTTGCATTTCCAAAGACCTTTCTAACAGTGTTCGTAGTATATATATATTGCATTTGTCGTGCCTTTTCATTCGACAAAGCCACATTGCTCTTTTGCTATCTCAGGCTGAATTCGGTTTCTTGCTCTCATAATAATTACTGTAAGGAGAATTTTAGTTACATGGCTCATAAGACTAATCGTTCTGTGGAGCTCGCATTCAATGGCACCGGGTTTCTTCGGGAGGGCAATAAACACCGATTTGTATAAATCTTTTGGAATCCTGCCAGAGTTGTAAATATCGTTTAAAAGATCTGTAAGAGTTTTGATGCCAAAAGAGCCGAGGGCTTCTAGGTGTTCGATTGAGATATCATCTGGGCCTGTAGCTTTGCCTTTCTTCATTCTTTCCATTGCTTTCCTAACCTCATCTTGCATAATTGAGGGACCTTCAAAGTTGTTCTTTACTGTAAAATTTTCGTCTCTGGAATCGTCCTTAAAGAGGTCCTGGATGTATTCCGCCCAGAGATTAAGTATGCCTTCTTTGTCCATGATTACAGTGTCATCTTTAGCGTTTAAACAGCCTGTCGCCGTACATGTTCTTTTTCTTCCCGTTATTTCTTCAACGTTTTTGTGTAGAATCTGAGAGTCAAACCTTTGTTGAATATCAATTTCTCTGCATTTATCTTCCAGCCATTCTTCCTTTGCTTTGTCACATTTTGTTTTGATTTCTTGATTCAGTTTTTTATATTCAGCTTTGTTGTTCTCTGCTTCTCTTCGTTTGTCCATTAGAGTAAGAATTTCCTCTGTCATCCAGGTTTGTTTTGCTTCTGTTTTCTTTTTAGGTATTTCTTTTTCTGCTGCTTCTGTTATACACATTTTTAAATTTTCCCAATTCTGCTCGATTTCGTTTGACCATTCTAGACTTTCAAACTTATTTTCGACCGCTACACGATATTTTTCCCGGAGAGTTGAATCGCACTTCAGGTGTGCAAGGTCCAGCCTTAGTTTTCGTTTGCCTCTTTGAATAATTTTTAAAGGGATAATAACTCTTCGTATGATATCTTTATTTTACAATAAAAACATTGTGAACAACTCATAGAAATATAATATATTCTGTTGTACCAGAAAAAACAGCAGTTATAGCTATTATTCTGATATCTGAGCTTGTCTTCAGATCACGTGACTTCCATTGATGGCTGTACTCTGTTAAAATCTCTTATTGGGTTTTAACAAAAAACCAAACTTTTTAGAAAAAAAACAGGGACTAACTTAGAATGTGAAAATGGATTCATTAAGCATTGGTAAGTACGGGAAAATTGTTGTTTACTCCAGGAAAATTCATTTTTTGGCCAAAACGAAGAGTTATTATCCCTTTAATTTGAGCCTTAATTTCGCCATTACCAGTCTGTGATCTGTATAACAATCTGCTCCGGGATAGCTACTTGAAATTTTAAATATAGCTTGAAGATCACTGCAGCCGGCACTAAGTTAAATCCACACGAAGAACTGTAAATGAAGTAGTGAATAAGTAAGTAGTAAGTAAGTGAGTAAGTAAGCAAGTAGTTAAAAGAGAGCCAGTGGTCTCTTTTTATACCCTTTTGACTACCACGCCCAAACGATAGCCAAACCCCAATTTTCACGTGATGTGTCTTATGTACACTCTATTTCCAAATTTCCTTCTAGCAGCTTACCTTCTGTACCTCTTGGAGTTGCCTCTTTCTAGCTTTCTTTGGCCCGTACTGTAAACCAATCCATCTTTACTATTATGTATCACTGAACATATGATGTCCATTGCAGGATCCACCACAGCAATACCCTGGTTTGTATGAAAGATCAGGTGATAACATGATACTTAAAACCTAAGCTATATCACCCACACACCTGAGAAATCAATCATGTTAAATTCTCCCTCAGAAAGGAATACAAGTTGATTAATAAAATCTTTACTGTTTTTTTTTTTTTTTTTGTAAGTATTGACATTAAATTCTTTTAAAAATAACACGCATAAATAAAATCAGTATAATATGTGTATGCACTTTATTACCTCCCAAGAGTGAGAAACTATGTACTTCCACTTGGCGCACATGCCTCATGTCAGTTAAGACGTTTCAATAATAATAAGGTATGACTTTTCAATCTGATGTTCAGAAGAGTCATAGGAATCTCCAGCAACACTTAATTGGCACTTCAAACGAAGACACCACTACTGAAGCTGCTAGGGGGTAATTAATTATCGTTCAGTAGGCGTTCCAGCCATCTAAGCTGCTTAAGCTAAAGGCAATTTAGCGAAAAAATCCTCGGAGTTGGATCGATCCTGTAAGATTGATCTAGGTATGGGAACCCAGTCAAATATTTAAAGTAAGGTCAAGAGTAGAGGGTTCGCGACGCGTGGTCACGGGTCAAGGAAATTAATCCTTCAAGCCGATGGCCAGTCAGGAATAGAATTCTTGATGAATACCGATGTTACTCTGTGAAGAGAGAGATATGCATTAACGTACTCCATTGATGTTTGTCGCTAATACACCACACAGTGACAAAATTACCACCACAGTAACAGAGCTGCAACGATGTCGAGTTTTCTTTTGATGTTTTTGCTGATTACTTTGGAGTTCAGCAGTAAGGTAAGAAGCAACAGTTATCCACATTCCTGATATTCTCTTCATGTTTTTTTATACTATAGCTGTATTTTGCTTTATGTATAGTGTACGCTCCGGATTGGGAAAGTGACTGTCCGAACAAACAGCCTCTGTTTACATTTTTTGTTAAATACACAATTATTAGTCACAGACACAGGAAACGAAGACTTGGTGTAGGCTAGTAAACAGTATTAAATATGTAGGTTTCAAGGGAGGATCCAGGAATATTTGAAGGGGGGGGGGGGGGCGGAACAACAGGTCTCGGATGCAAAGCCGACCATAGGCCCCGTGGCGTGAAGTTTGGAGGGTAAACGGTGCCCATTAGTACGGTTTAGAACTATGATTCAGCTAGCCAACATTCTAATTTCAAGAGGGGAATATTGGTGTGATATATTTTTCAGAAACCGAAGGGGGAGTCGGGACCCCACTGAACCCCCTCTAAATCCGGCACTGGGATTTTCATGCGAAAAATAGATAACCTGGGACTTAATTTTGACTAGATGCAGCACAATAATAATAATAATTACTATACATTGTGTTTCTTTTCAATGCACCTCATATTACAAGTATATTCACTACACAATTAAAAATTCCTAAAAATAAAATTATTAAAAATCGTACAAACTTTGAAAAATAAATTAGACAAATTATACGGATGCGAAGAGAAGACTTTTGAATGCGGTGAGAAGGCTTTTAGATTATTGATAGACATTAGAGAGACTAAGAGAGACTTAAAGGGCCACTGCATGGATTTGCCTGCCAAAATGGATTTTCTCGAGGGAATAAGCAACTTTTTCGTACTCATGAATCATTTACCTATCCCTCCCTGCATTTGGATTCAACCTTTAATTAAATCTATAAAAGTTGATTTCGTATAAAATGACTGGCCCGTCACTTAAATATCAGCATCAGGTACGCTTCACAAAAATATTTAAGGAATCCAGTCGTTGTAAACGTGTATGTAAGATTTATAAGAAGCAGTGGATGGCAAAAATAAGCATTGGGGGATATTCAAACCCATGGAGTGTATCTTTCGTTACAGATTGCCAAGTGTCTGAATGCACCATAGGCCTATTTGTTATTCAGGTTCGTGGTGGAATATCGCAAGCCACCCCCCTTGTCAACATCGATGATTTCAGAAAGTACGCAGAGAGTAATCTATCCAACGAAACCCGAGAATATATGCAGAGCGGCGGCACAGAATTGACCACATACAGGGAAAATATGGAGGCTTTCAAACGCTACAGATTAAGGCCCCGCTATATGGCGAGAGATGTCAGCACCATTGATACTTCTACGACGCTTCTGGGGCGTCCAGTGGCATCTCCTATCGGTACGGTATTTTTTAACCGAGATGAGGATGTTAACGTCTTTCCTTTTAAATTTTGTGTACAGGATTCATGAAAAAAGATGGGTCTGAAATATTCTATAACAGTTATATTTGTATCAGTAATTCACCGACCGGCAATTGCAAATCCGGTAAGGTGTGTGTGTGTGTGTGTGTGTGTGTGGGGGGGGGGGGGGGGTCCCCTTTTCTCTCCAAAAAAGGAAAAACCA